AACTATGCGCCGTCGTCACCCCCAGCTGGAGTGAGTCGGTAGGTCATGGGGGGGCGGGGGCGGGGGCCCAGGAATTAGCCTGTCATCCGTTGATGCTGTGATCTGTGGGTCCTGCTTTGAGAAGCACTGTGTCGTTCACTGATCACATTGAAATGGTGCGCAGTAATATCTCTCTCCAGCCTTAGCTCCGTGTGTATGTGTGTGTGTGTGCGCGCGCGCGCACGCCCTTCCGGGAGGATAGGCAATAAAACGTCAATAGTGGTGATCTCTGTGTATGCTGAGAGTTCAAGATATTTTAGATATATTTCTACATGCTTTCCTAATGGTTTTAATTGTTTGTAATCAGTGTACAGTTTTTATAAACAGATACAGCCACCACGCCTGCCTCGTGGGCGGGAAGAGCAGACATTTTACAGAGGAAACATGACATAGGATGTGAGTGCGTGGGGACCGTGGGCAGAGGGAAAGAAGGCCACGCCTGCTGTGTCAGTGACAGTGTTTGCGCTCAGAGCTGTGTCCCTCCCTCCGTGGCTCCCACCGCCTGAGAAAGCTTGCACAGGGGAGGGAGGCCCGCCTTCTCATTTCCACACACTCTGCGTTTGGCAAAGCAGGGACCCCACTCACGCCTGGGGATAGCGATGGTGGCTGAGCCGGAAGGCTGGGCCTCCCTTTCCATCTCTGTCCCCAGAGTCCTGGGCCTGGTGACCTCCTCGCCCACCCTGGCCGGCACTGGGCACCCTGGCCAGCCAGGCAGAGCCAGGGAGGGCCATTTTACAGCACTGTTACTACTCTCGTTGCCCAGGAAACCCACACAGGGCCCCACAAACGCCGTGTGAGAAGGCCAGACCCTTCCCGGGCCATGGTTTCCTACACCTTTACAACGTGATAGGTGCGGTGGAAAAAAGGGGCCGTTGGCTTTATGGAAACTATATAAAGTTTATGGAGCCTTGGCAGGCCAGAAGTAGCAAGGCCTGCAGCGTGGGGGTGGGGGCTTCGAGGCGGAGAGAGCCCTGAAGGGCGCAGACCTTTGTGTGGGACACCAGGCACCGCGCCTGAGGCTGGGCGTGCCCGTGGGGCAGGGGGGGGGGGCGGGGGAGGGGGGGGCGTCAGGGAGAGTGGAGGTGATCCGATCGAAGTCTGGGTGAGCGGCACAGCCACCTTCCTTCTGCAGAGGGAAGACTGAGGCAAAGGTTTTTGAAAGCTATGAACTTGCCTAGGTCGCCCAGCTGATGGCGTGTGGCTCTCACGTGATGTTCCAAATTCACACGCTCTCTCTGCTGTGTATTGAGTGATGTGTCCCAGTTTCAGGTCCAGGAAATATGGTCTCTGCACCCAGTTTCAGTTTGGGACTCGTCTGTTATTTGTGGTTTAGTCTTTTTTTTTTTTTTTTTAATGTTTTTATTGATTTTTTAGAGAGAGAGGGAGAGGAACAGAGAGATAGAAACATCGATGAGAAAGAAACATCACTGATAGGCTGCCTACTGCACCCCCCGCACAGGGGATAGAGCCCGTGACCCAGGCATGTGCCCTGACCGGGAATCGAACTGGTGGCCTTTCGGTTCTTGGGTCAATGCTCAACCGCTGAGCTACACCGGCCAGGCTGTGGTTTAGTCTTATGGTTCCCTCATAACTTCCGTCACCACCTTGTGCTCCTGTGGGTCAGCTTCGCTGTCCACGCTGAACTGTATGTGCTCAGATGTGCCCACTGGCCATGGCTGGAATGGAAGGAGAGCCTCCCAGAGCTTGGCCCTGGTCAGGGCAGAGTGAGAAACATGTCCTTGTCTTCAGGAGCCCCTCCGTGTCCCACTTGCACTGTAGGATTCTCTTAGAGTTCCTGGCGGAGCACCCCCGGGGCCTGAAACCATGTCCTCACCCTGGAAACTCCTAATTCACTTCTCCTTACATGTGTGCCCCGTGGTGTCTGTGTTTTCTCTCCTACTTGGCTGTGAATTCTTGGAGTGCTGATTCTGTGAATGCTTAATTCTTTATCTGATTTTGCCCGTAGGGTCTGGCATAGTTCCTGGCATGTAATAATCATTGAATAAGTATCTGCTGGGAGGAAGCGTGGATGGGAGGATGGATACATGGTGGGGTGGAAGGATGGATGGATGGATGGATGATGGATGGATGGATGGATGGATGGATGGAAAGATGGATGGGTGGGTGGATGATACAAGGTTGGAAGGAAAGATGGGTGGGTGGATGGAAAGATGGAAGGATGGATACATGGTTGGGTGGAAAGATGGATGGATGGATGAATGGATGGATGATACAAGGTTGGAAGGAAAGATGGGTGGGTGGATGGAAAGATGGAAGGATGGATACATGGTTGGGTGGGTGGATGGATGGATAGATGGGTGGAAAGATGGAAGGACGGATACATGGTTGGGTGGAAAGATGGATGGATGGATGAGGCATATATAGACTAACAGACACCCGCTTCCTCATTTACACCTTTCTGCACAGTTAAACCAGCAGCCTAACCCAGGTCCTCTCGGGCTTCCACTGAATGTACTTCTGTTTCATACTTTTGCTCTCTCTGACGCCATATGGAGGAACCAGCCTGAGTGCTAGAACGTGTGTATAAATACTTTACAATCCCCATAAACTTGTTTAAAGACAGTTGGGGGCGAAAGTATAAACTGGGGCAGCCTTTTGGGAGGGCAATTTGGAAGTAGCTATTAAAATTTTAAATGTGCCTACCACTAAGACCCAGCGGTTTCACTTCTAGTTGTCAGGCAGGAGACATGTATGCATGGGCTTGTGCACAAAACCACATGCCGGGCGCTTATACAAGGTGCTCGTAACGGCGAAAACGGGAAGTAGCTAAGTGCCATCAACAGAGAGATGGACACCCAGCTGTGGGAAAAGCTGCAGAGGCACCAAGGTCTCCAGTGGGGTTTGGGGAGGTATCTCCGACCTTCTGGAAAGCTCCGAGACTCTGGAGCTCATGCCCCCAGCAGAGGCCCCCCTCCCCACCTCAGTTCTCTCAACTCCCTTTCTCCCTCCTCTTCCTCGCACCAGTTACAAGAATTAGACACTTAACCCTTAGGCCTACTTGCCAGCGGCCTTCCCTTATAGAAAAGGAGGGAAAAGAGAGAAAAACCCGTCTCATAAAGCATAATTACTGTCTGCTGGCCCTTCAATTAAGAAGATTGAAGGGCACAATATTAAAATTTGATTTATGGGCGCCACTATCTACCCAGTAATGAGGCCGAGAGGAAAAAAAGAACCACAGTCATCAGAGAAAACTGTAGCCCTCTTTCTCCCGCAGGAGACAAATGGCCTCTCATTTGCTTATGAAATGTTTTCTAAAGAAACGTGAAATGGTCTGAAGTATGTGTGATGTGTCCCCGGCTGTTGAAACCCAGAACTCGGTGACTAGAGAGTCAGCTTCCTGAGAGGCATAGCGGCTTGAGCCGGCAGGGCTGCTGGCGGGGCTGCCGGCGGGCCCAGCCCTGGGACCCCGCTGCCACATCTCCAAACAACCTTCGGGTCCAGGGGGCCAGGCCAGGACCACAGGGCTGGGGAGGAGGGGAGGAGCGCAGCACCGGCTCCGAGTCCCAGCGTCGCTGATTCGTTACCTGACCCTCCGTTTCTTCATCTGCAAACTAGGAGCGGTGACCTTAGTGACCGTGTGACCTTGGGCCGGTGCCAGGTTTCCCATCCGCCTCCACGGGTGGTAGGAGGGTTAGAACAGTGAACAAGGGTGAAGGGCCCAGATGGGCACCCGCCACAGAGCGAGCGCTTGGTAAATGTGTTCCCATCTCTGTTACTGTTATTGCCGATGTTTTTGCTGTAATTGAAAGACCTGGGATTTGAACCCAGACCTTTCCTTTCCGAGTGCCCATGGGGGGCAGACTGACCTGAGGGTGATGCCCAGTCCTGCCTCTCCAGCAGGTGCCCTGGGCAGTCCTGGTACCTGGCTGGGCCCCATTTCGTTCATCTGTAAGATAACTCTGCTCGCAGGCAGTGCTGTCAGGTTGTAAAGACAAACGGAAACAGAGTTGATGGCAGGGACCCCTGGAAAGGGAAGCTCTTTCCCTAGGAGCCTGTGTGGGGTGCTGTCGGCGGAGGAGTCACCATCTGGTTTCTGGCCCCTCCGGCCTCTGTGGCTCCTGCGGGACTCTCCTCCCGGGAGGAGGTCACATGTTTCTTGGCTCTAGAAAGAATAGTAACAAAATGTGAAATAAAGTAAATGAACAGCCGTTGTGCCAGGTGCTGTGCTGAGTTGACTTGCGGGATCGCAGGTCCCTGGGGGCGGCCTGGGAGTGAGCAGGTCCCACGTGGGGACGGGCGGCTGGCCAAGAGCACCCCGCTGGGAGATGACAGGGCCAAGTGAGTCCAAACCCAGGCCTGTCCGTTCTCTCCACCCCACGCTGGCACACCCCAGAGCCTGCACCCCAACCCCTAATCGCTGGCCTCCCCCTGCCCCGTCTCTCCTGGGTCCCCGCTCCTCAGCCCCATGGCTCTGGCCAGGCGGGTGGCAGCGCCGTCACCTGTGGCTAATTTGTATCTTACCACCAGCGCTTCTTTTTTAAGAAATATATTTTTATTGAAGGGAAAGAGAGATAGAAACATCAATGATGAGAGAGAATCATGGATCAGCTGCCTCCTGCACGCTCCCTACTGGAGATGGAGCCCGCAGCCCGGGCCTGCGCCCTGACTGGAATCAAACCGTGACCTCCTGGTTCATAGGTTGACGCTCAACCGCCGAGCCACCGCCAGCACTTACGAAGCTGCAGGGTCGAGGGCCCAAATGCTCACGTGAGGGCGTGTAGAACGTTTTGTTCTGTGCGTCTCAGTTTGTGGTGCTTCATCTGTGGGACACGCCGGGGATGGTGAATGCGAGGTGCCACCCAACCCCTTGCCAAGCCCCTTGAGCTCGTCCATGGGACCCTCCGGGGCTGCCTGTCATCCGCCCACGACCCCCTGGGGAGGAGCAGGGGGGCTTCGTCCATGTTTCTCTGTGCCTGGCTGACGCGTTTCTCTGTTCCCAGAGGAGAGGGAGAATGTGCAGAAGAGGACCTTCACTCGGTGGATAAACCTCCATCTGGAGAAGGTAAGCGGGCACCTGGGTCTGGGTGACGAAGGGCTCATCCATAACCGAGTCCAGTTCGGGAGCCCGGTGAGGGCACGCGGGGCAGTGGGTTTCTGTGGTTGTTGTTGTCATTCATTTAAACCTCCACAGTGCGTGTTCTCACGGCCTGGCATCGCGCTCCGGGCCGGAACGGGGAGGTGAGTAAGGCGCGGTTCTATCCGCCGGGGCTGTCAGTCCACTTGGGGAAGGAGAGGTCTACCTTTTTATTTATTGATTGATTTCAGAGAGGAAGTGAGAGGGAGAGATAGAAACATCAATGATGAGAGGGAATCATCGATCGGCTGCCTCCTGCACACGCCCCACTGGGGATCCAGCCCGCAACCCGGGCCTGTGCCCTGACGGAGAATCGAACCAGGACTCGCCTCTTGGTTCATAGGTCGATGCTCAGCCCCTGAGCCACGCCGGCCGAGCTGTTTTGCTCTTTATCAGAAAGCTGACTCACCAGGACTCGTCCCACCCGCGTCACTTCTTTCTTCGGACATCCCACTGCCTGGGTCTCCGGACAGGCAGCCGCAGCCTCCTTCCCTCCTCAGCCTGGCAGGTCCTGCTTCCTTCTCTCCTGCCCCCTCACAGGGACAGGAGTGACTGCAGACTGTCCTAGACTTAACCCAAATGAGGGCCTGAGAGGGAACCGTGGGAGCAGCTAGGCAGCAGAGAAAATGAATGTGGTTTGTGGGGAGTGGGGCTCTTGGCCGAAATTCTCATTCACGGAGTTGATTTTCCGGGCCTGGGATGTTTCCCTGGCAGCACTTGGCCACCCACACCTGTCCCCCACCTGTGGGATGGGGTACCCTTGACCCAGGAGGCTCCTGAACTCTTCAGGGGAGAGCCTCCCTATCGTGGGTGAAGCGGTAAAAATCACTCGCCAGTTACTTGACTGTGGGTGCATTTCCCGGGGCTCGTAAAGAGAAGTGTTACTTCTGGAAAAAAGGGAGCCCGCGTCCCAGTCCTGAGTTCACTGAACTCCCGATTCGCCCGATGCGTGTGAGGGTAGCGGTTCCTCCTGCTGGACGGAGTGTGGCCCTGGCAGCTTTCTTCTGTTCTGGTTTTTTTGTTTTGTTTTGTTTTGTTTTTTGCTTTTAATTAAAAAATAAATAGAGGGAGGTACAGAGGGGAATAGAGCAAATCCCTCCGTTAGCACTTATCCTACGGGGGCTTCTCCCCCTGGCCCGGCCCGGCCCGGCTCCATCCGGGCAGGTGGGCCGCGCCCACTCTGAGGATAAATCAGGCAGCACCTGGAACTGATGCCTAATAAACGGGGCAAAATTAACAGCCCCGTTTCCAACCCCGAGACTTTCAAGAGCAGCCTTTCATGGGAAGGAAACCCAGGCCTCCTGGGGGAATTGGGCTTACCTGCAATTTGAAGGCTGTCAGAAATATTTACCGAGGCTCTGGCTTCTGGAAAAATTCCTTCATTTACCAAAGGGTTAGATCATGAAGAAAGCCCTGGGGGTGCTGTTTGCTCGGCCATACCGATCTCATGAAGCCCACGGAACGTTCGGGCCGGAGTGTTTGTCCTGGAGCCGGTTCAATTCCTCCGCCTGCCCTCGCGCAGGATGGACTGCGGCCAAGGCCCGAGTGCTGCCGCCGCCCGGGCTCCCAGATCCTCCCAGTTCTGCTCGCACATGAGGCTCGGCCACAGTCGGGGCTGCTCACGGGAAACGTTGTTTGTCCGTCCATCAGGGGGTGTTGGTTTGGGTCTCTCGATCGCTGCCTCCCATTAGCAGGGAAAGTGTTTCCGGGAGAGGCTCCGTACCCGATGCCGGGTGCTCGGCCCGGAGCGCTCCCAAGGGGCTGCGGCAGTTTGCAGAGAAAATAACCTGCCTGTGGCTCAGAGGCAGTCTCTGTTGCCCTGGAAGCGAAGCCCTTTGCTGTGCACCTGTGGGTGGGATCGCCCTGTGTTTGGACACCACAGCCTCCAAGGCTGGCCGGGCAGGAGCCTTCCTGGAGGAAAGGGTGCCTGGGCCCCAGCTCCACCGTGAGTCTCCGGGGTCACAGCTGCCCACCCCACTTATACCGTGTCCTCATCACCTCTGTGGACACCCCCTTTCATTGTCCCCGGGAGCAGAGAGCACTAGCCTGACTGTTTAATGTTGCAGACGCCCCAGCACTGAAACATAAAGGGAATCTGTGCTGTGTGGGGGCTCATTAGCATTGGGTGGGGCTCATTAGCATTGGGTGGGGGCTCATTAGCACTGGGTGGGGCTCATTAGCACTGGGTGGGGCTCATTAGCACTGGGTGGAGCTCATTAGCACTGGGTGGGGCTCATTAGCATTGGGTGGGGCTTATTAACATTGAATGGGGCCTCATTAGCATTGGGTGGGGCTCGTTAGCATTGGGTGGAGCTCATTAGCATTGGGTGGGGCTCATTAGCATTGGGTGGGGGCTCATTAGCACTGGGTGGGGCTCATTAGCACTGGGTGGGGGCTCATTAGCACTGGGTGGGGGCTCATTAGCATTGGGTGGGGCTCATTAACATTGAATGGGGCCTCATTAGCATTGGGTGGGGCTCGTTAGCATTGGGTGGAGCTCGTTAGCATTGGGTGGGGCTCATTAGCACTGGGTGGGGCTCATTAGCACTGGGTGGGGCTCATTAGCACTGGGTGGGGCTCATTAGCACTGGGTGGAGCTCATTAGCACTGGGTGGGGCTCATTAGCACTGGGTGGGGCTCATTAGCATTGGGTGGGGCTCATTAGCATGCAGGTTTATGGACCCTGTTCCCGGAGGTTCTGTTGCAGTAGCTCTTCACCAGGCAGCATTAAAGCTTTAGTTCACAGAAGCCTTTCTTGCATGAGACCCTGAGCAAAGGCCCCTAGGAGCTGGAGGGGGTGCGATGGATCAGCCCCCTTCTTGGCCCCCAGCGCCCAGAGGGCACCCTTTTCTGCTGAAGCCTAGGGGCCTGGGAAGCCCAGTTTGCAGATCCCTGCACTGGAGCATCCGACCGACCAGTTCCAGCGGCTCTGGGCTCCCGGCCACATCGAGCCAAACCCTTGGTGGGCACAGCCACCTAGACAGCAGGCCCTCCAGGTCTAGGCTCAGAGAATAATGCCGGGCTGGGAGTGGGGCGTCTACCTCCTCCCGGCCAGGCCCCTCCACCCCCAGATCCCCTGTGGAGAGGAGCCTTTTCCTCAGGCAGCGGGAGAACCTGGTGAGCTCGGGCCCAGGGTGCCATTTACCGAGCCCAGGAACCCAGAGAGAGAAGCCAGTGGGGCATAGAGATGATGCTCACAGAGTGGCTCCCTGTGGAGGGGCGCCGGCTAAGGACACTTCCCTGCAGGACTCCCAGCCCTGAGGCATCCACGCCTGGGCACCCCGAGACCTGCAGGGAGGCAGCCCCTCCATAGGAAACTGGTTTGACGGGTGATGTTGGTCTGGGGCACAGGTGCTGTGGGGGAGGACAGGCCTTTACCTGCACGACCTCACCCCATTGCAGCTCCCGTCCCTGTGGTGGGTCGGATTCCAGGCCCGACCTTGCAGCCCAGGGTACTCAGGCCCAGGGAGGTGAAGGAAAATGCCAAGGCCAAGTTCAGTCAGGGGTAGACCTGGATTTGAACTCAGGTGTGTCTAACCCCCTTGCCTCTTCGTGGGACAGGCGCAAGGTGCATCTGAGAGAACAGTTTATCTCAGGAGCCTGGTGTGGTGGAGGCAAGAGGCAGTCACGTCCCACCGATCAACTTCTTAAAACAAGTTTAATTAGTTTAATTTGCTATAACGAGCATGTGTTGCGTTGTATACCTAAACATATAAATGCACATCTAATTCAGCCTCTCAAACGCTGAGATCCTGGCAGACCTGCAGACTTGGGGGTGGAAGGGAAGATTCTCTCCCTTCATCCAACTCCCAGCATCCAGCGGGCCAGCTGTGTGTCCAGCTGTGTGTCCATCAACACCAGCCTCCTTCCGGCTTCCGCGGCCGGGGGTGGCCCACCTCCAGATGTGGACCACGGGCCCCTCAGGAAGGCGTGATGCTTGGACCGAGCAGCACTGGGGACGGAGGAGCCCTGCTGACATCTGGACCGAGGCCCAAAGGGTCACTGACCCAGGGTCACGCCCTTGCGGGGTGGGTCGGGCGGCACTGTGGTCAGCCAGTGTGTCCTGATGGAACAGGACTGCACCAAAGAGCTGACTCGTCCAAACACTGGGCACGTCACCCATCCTCTTGGAGCCTCGGGGTCCCCAGACCTGAGGCGAAGGGCTCGCCCCCGGGCGTTTGATGTGAGCCCTGCTTCTAGAACTAGTTCACCCGATGGGAGGCTGTAACTCTCGCGCATGCCTGCTCTTTCTACCCTGAAGAGCAGCGTGGGTGTAATACGACTGGGGTCTGAGGGATCCTATTAGAAGGGTCCCCAAGGGTCACTCGCTCGATGGGGCCCCTGTCACAGCTCCCGCAGCTCCCCAGGCCCCCCGCTGCTCGGGCGTCCCCTGGGGAGGAGGGGCCTCTGTGGATGGGCCTGACTGCCCGTGCACGGATGTGGGTGCTGGGAAGTTCTCTCTTGAGTGGCAGCCGCACACGGGGACTAGTTCCGGGAGTTACAGGTCTCTAATCGCCCGACCTCTTCCCCTCCTTGCGCAGTGCGACCCTCCTCTGGAAGTTAAAGATTTATTCATTGACATACAAGACGGCAGAATCCTAATGGCGCTGTTAGAAGTCCTGTCCGGGCGAAACCTGGTACGTACGGCACGGAAGGGTCAGAAAGAAAGAAAAGGCCGAGGGAGGCGGTGCTGGAGGCTTCTGTGAGCACAGACCCTGTGCACGTGCGTCCTGGCCCTACGCACGTCCTGTGGCACCAAACTGTGGGTGACGTTCCTTCCTCGGTGATAAGACTGACACAATCCCGCGTAACTAGGCAGCATCTCCCTCTTTTTGTTTGTTTGAGAAAATATACTTTAGTAAGTAGATGAATAAATGCCCCGTGTTTTCTGTGAATATGATAAGGCAAAGAATAAGAACTGGCCAGCCATTGTATTAACCAGAACGATAGCTAAGAATCAGGGTGATGGCCGTAGAAAAAGAAGGACCTCTTACCCTTGCAACAGCATGGAGGCCCTGGTGAGCATCCTGCTAAGCGAAATAAGCCATCAGAGAAAGACAAGTGTCACACGATCCCACTCATAGTGGAACCTAATGGACAAAATAAACTGATGAACAAAATAGATCCACAGACATGGACGCAGGGAACAGATTCCGCAGGGAACAGAGGCGGAATCTCAGAGGGAAGCGGGGGAGGGTGGGTGGGTGTGAAGTGATCAACCAAAGACCTTGTGTGCACATATGCATGGCCCATGGACACAGACAATAGCGGGGTGGAGGCCTGGGGTGGGCGCGGGGGCGAGCTAGTCGCAGTCAATGGGGGAGAAGGGGGACATATGTAATACTTTCAACAGTAAAGATTTAAAAAAAATAAAAAATAATCGGGATGATGGGAAGGTATATTACACCCACATTCTATCATCCATCCCAAGGCTGAAACGAACTGCCAGCTTCTAGAACCTTCTTATACGTATGACCAGAATGGAATTGGACCCGCTGGTCTTGAGGCTGTTTCACTTTGATCTGAGCCCACCCCCTTCACGTGGGGCGTCTGCCGTGCCCAGGCCGGCCCTGTCCCCCTCGTGGCCGCGGCTCGGCCTGCTGCTGCTGAGGACTCAGTGGGAGGGTTCCCATGGGGGGGCTGTCTGCGCACTGCAGGCTGTTCAACATCCTTGGTCTCCACCCACTCGATTGGGTGCCAGTGGTACCCCCAGGTGTGACAACCGAACACGTCCCCTCAACATGCCAGATGTCCCCTGGGGGGGGGGGGCAGTGACCTGGCCAGAATGACCCCATCAGGGTTGGATTTGCCCTGTGTGGCTCCTGGTGGCGGACACAGAGGTGCAGCCACAACCCACGAGTGTGGGCCAGGGTGACCGACACCGCCTGGTTTGCCTTGCCCTGTAAACACCCTCCTGGAGGGGTGGGGGCGTCAGCTCTTCCCGCCCAGGCCCTGGAGGGGCACGAGGGGATGCGGTGTAGGGTGTTCACCCTGACGCTGCTCCAGTGTAGCGGGCATCGCTGGGGCTGGGCTTCTGCAGGCACCTCCCCCGTCTCGCTCTCTGTGTCTCTCCCCTCCTCTCTGTCTGCCTGTCTCCCTCCCTCTCTCTGTCTCTCTCTCTCTATCTCTGTCTCTCTTCCCCCTTCTCTGTCTGTCTCTTTCTCTCCCTCTGTCTTGCTCTCTCTGTCTCTGTCTCTGTCTCTCTCTTTCTCTCTCTCTCCCTCCCTCCCTCCCTCCTTTCCTCTCTCCCCTCCTCTCTGCCTGTCTCTGTCCCCCCCCACCCCCACCCCTCCTCCTCTCTGTCTCTCTCTCTCTGTCTCTCTCTTTTTCTCTTTCTCTTTCTGTCTCTCTTCCCCCTTCTGTCTGTCTCTTTCCCTCTCTGTGTCTCCCCCCTCCCTCTCTCTCTCCCCCCTCCTCTCTGCCTGTCTCTGTCCCCCCCCCCCCCGCCCCGACCCCTCCTCCTCTCTGTCTCTCTCTGACCTGAGATCACTGTTCACAAAGCTCTTGGCCAGCAAACCGGAACATCTGCCCCCGGGGGGACCGGCGGATGATTTAGCAGCTGCTGCAGAGGCTCCTGCTCTGACAGAAACCATCAGTGGGAGCGAGCACGTCGCTGGGGGCTCTGGAGGGGGAGGCCGATCAAAGGCCAGGAGCCGGGTCAGAGAGAAGAGCCTGACACATCTGTCCCCTGCTTAACCCCTGGGTCCCCCACTCACCGGCTCAGCCTTGTGAAGTCCCAGGAACCATAAATAAAGGGTGGGTTCAGCTGGGCCCCCCGACTTCCCCGAGATTAATGTGAGCCGGGGAAGGCGAGCGGCGGCCGCGGGCTCCCGGGCCGGGATGCGCTGTCTGACGCGGGCTGTCTGGTTTGTTTCAGCTCCACGAGTACAAATCCTCGTCCCACCGCATCTTTCGGTTGAACAACATAGCGAAAGCACTTAAGTTTTTGGAAGATAGCAACGTAAGTATGCGACCCATCTGGCGAGCAGGCCCTTTCCGGCAGCTGCAAGGACCGCGTGGCTGAGTGCTGGTCACGGAGAAGCGTGGGGAGGGAGCCTGGGAAAGGCCTACAGACCACGTTCAAAGTGAACGGAACTCGGCTAACCCGTCTGTTGGCGAGGCGGCCCCTGCCCCTCCCCCCACCCCCCCACCCCGGGCCTCCATCGGGACAAAGCTTCCCCCACGTGGGAAGGGCGGGACGCTGACGGGGTCTCGGCTCTTTAGGGTCAGGTGACATTTTCCCTCCTTTGACTAAGAGTGCGGTGAGCCTCGCAGTGTAACCCCGCCTCCTAGAACCCCGCATCAGGGAGAAGTGCAGGGCGAAGTGAGCCAGGAAAACTTACAAATACCTCCCCTCTTGGATAGAACTTTCTAGACTTTCATTCGCTTTTTCTATGTTTTGACGCTGCCTGGTGTCCTCCGTGGGGCGGGTGGCCGAGAGGGATGAGGTTATGGAGCGCCCCAGGGAGCCTCCGCGGGCAGCCCGGGTGAAACACGCAGCTTGCCCGCGTGCGGCTTGGCCAGGAAGCCATTCACTTGGCGTCCCTGGCCGCCGGCAAGGGAAACTCGGATTGGCTGAGTTTAGCAGGAAAGGGATGTATCGAAAGCATGCTGGGAGCGCACAGAGCGACTGCAAAGCTGGGGGACCAGAGACGGAACCCAGGGATGCCTGGCGCCCACTGCAAAGCTCCCCACGCCCCCATCCAAGTGGGCATTGCCGCCCCGCACTGTCCCCACCGCTGCTGAGGATATCACCGCCCCTGAATGAACTCAGTGTCACACATTCAGAGTCCAAGGCCGGCTCCCGAGCATCAGTCCCTGCCCACACCCCGGCTTCCGGGGTGCCACGGGAGCTTCGTGAGGAAAGTACTTCGGGTCTTGATTGGGGAGGTGCCCTGCCTCCCAGGCTGTGGGGAGAGCCCCGGCACAGGAGGCGTTTCAGATGGCGGCGGCCAAAAAGCTCACTCGGTTCACAGCAGCGTCACTCAGAAGAGCCAAGAGGTGGAGGCAGCCCAAGTGCCCATCCGTGGAATATTATTCGGCCACGAAAAAGGACCGAGTACCCGTACCGGCTGCCACATGGATGGACATGGAAAACATTATAAAAGATGCCGGGCTCAGAGGACGCCGTGTTCCATGATCCTGTTCCTATGACACATCCAGGACAGGGAGGTCCCTGGAGTCGGGAAGTGATTAGTGGTCGGTTAGGGTTGAGGGGACGGGGGCTCAGGGAGAGGGAACTAGAGGACAGGGTTGTCAGTGGGATAACGATGTTCAGAAATGGACTGTGGTGATGCTGTGCTTACCTGTGGACTCGTTAAAAAACCAGCGAATCACGTGCTTTAAGGGGGTGGATGGGATGGAGTGTGACTTCCCTCCCCCTTCTGTCCCCTGAGGAGTGGCTTTCACATGGATAAAGGGTGTGAAGAACCAAGGGGAGGACCTGACAAACAGTGGCCTGCAGAGTCTTGCAGATTCCTCTCTGATCTGCGGGCTCGGGTTTTGTTTGCAGAACAACGTGACTAAGGGCCGTGGTCCTCATTCTCACCTGGAGGGCCGGTTTAAATGCACATGGGGGGCCCCCTCCCAGAGCCTCTGATTCAGTAGGTCTGGGGCAGGATTTGCGTTTCTAAGGGGTTCCCAGGAGATCAATCTGGGACCCACACTTTGAGAACCATTGCCTTCAGAACCATTGCTAAGAGCGTCATCCTGGGGTCAGCAGTTCAATCAGTAGATGATGGCCTAAGGGTTCCTCAGACGGGCAGTTTAGCCAATCAGTAGGCTATTTGGTAATGATGCCAAAACTCCGGGTAGCAGCCTTATCCGGCACACTGTGTCCGATCACCCATTCGGGTCATTCTCGTTCCCATCGCGGCCCACGATGGCCAATGTCATTGCTCTGTGTTTGTCCACGGCCGTGTTCAATCGCAGGTGTGAGGGTGATAGTGTAGCATGCGCAGACCTGCCGGGCTCTCACCACCTGTCCTGGAAAAGATGACCGACCCTGGGCACGTCACGTCTGCCCTCTCTGGAATTCCCTCACCTGAAATACAGGGCTCATCGAAGTACCTGCGTGGAGGGGTTGGTGTGGGGCGAACTGAGGTGATACTTTCAGGAGCTTAGCCTGGTGTCTGCGGGGTAAGTCCTCTGTAGGTGATGATAAAAGACTCCTCCGCACACTTCTGCATGCTGGGCCCTGAGAGGCGGCCTTGGCAATGCTGAGCAGGGCAGGTGACAGAGAAACAGGCCCACGAGGGCATCCGAAAACCACCTGTTTTCCTCGTACGTGGCCACCCCGCTAAGCTCATCCGTTGCTTCCCTGCAGGTAAAACTGGTTAGCATCGACGCGGCAGAAATAGCGGACGGCAACCCCTCCTTGGTTCTTGGGCTGATATGGAACATAATCCTCTTCTTCCAGGTACGATCATTGCCTTTCTGTAACACGCGGCAGCAGTCTCCTCCAGTCAGCTCAGGGCCCGCAGCATGGAGTGGGGCCAGAGTGAGGCAACAGTGGGATTCAGTGTCCGGCAGGTTTTGACTTTTCTGTTCCCTGAAAAAGAACTGGAGGACTATGGGAGCTAAAGATTTGAGTCCCCATGATTTTAAAAGTGGTGAGAGCTCTGTTCCCCAGAAGCGTCCATCCATCCTCTTGGGAATGGAAGAATTAAATATTTACCTCGAAAAAATAACTTCGTTCTAAAGTGTCACAAGAACTGGGGAAATACTTCCAACGATTGAACGTGGTAGAGTTACGCTCCCAGAGTGAGCCGTGCTCATCAGAGATGAGGAAAGGCCCGTCTGAGAGACAGCGGGAGGAAGGGGCGCGTGTGGCGGGAGACCTTCCACCCGTAGCAGCGGCAGCGCCTCCGTGGAAATGCAGGCTTAATGGAGGGAGGGCGGGACGTGGCCGGGCTGCGAAGGCGGCATTGAAAGTCATGCTTGCGTCCTCTCCCGGGGCAGGAGCTGCCGCCTCGCCTTCTCACGCCCCTCGTTTGAAATAGAACGCGTGGCGCATCACTTGACCGCCCTCCCGAGTGAAAGTGACCCAGATGGTGGCGATGGGCTGGGGGTTGGGCTCAATGCTTCTGTTTCAGGGAGGGACGAGCCCAGACAAAGTCTGGATGTAACAGATCAAGTCCTAGGTGAGCCTTGAACGTCCAAAACCAAAGCCTCTCTCTCTGAGCCTCAGTTTCCACATCTGGGAAAGGGGGCGCCATGGTCATAGGCGTGGTGAGCGTGCAGAGCTGCTGTGAGTTGAGTTTCTGCTACGTGCCAGGCTCTGGGCATGCCCAGTCCTCAGCCATGACCTCTGGGATCACAGATGAGTTGCCGCATCTCACAGAGCTCCTCGGGGCAGGCCGCCCTCCGGGTGTGAGCAGAGAGCTGGGAGAGCACCGCGCAGGGGCAGTTACCTCGGAGGGGAGAGGGCCTGAGGCAGACTCCCAGCCGCAGCGTCAGCCTACGGGAAGTGACATCAGAGCCAGACCAGTGCTCCTCAGACTTGCCGTGCACACGGATCGCAGGGGTGTGTGTGTGTGTGTGTGTGTGTGGACTGCGGATTCTGACTCTGCCAGTCTGGGGCAGGGCCTGGGCATCTGCCTTTCTCCCATGTGCCCCGTGATGGGAGCCACCTTTTGAGTGGCCAGGAGTTCAGTGATGGAGGAAAGGGACCTTCCAGCAGCAGGACCCGGAAGAGCACAGGCAGCGGGCTGGGAGCCAGAGGCAGGATGGGAGAGGACGGGGGAGGCGGTCAGGATGACCTGTGTGCGGAGTCAGGCCACAGCGAGAGAGACTCGGGGAGAGGTGACGCCCCGGTCTGTGTCACTGCGTGTGCTGCCAGGCACGTGCAACGGGCAGGCCATCTCGCGTGCGGCGTGGCCCCCACACGGCGTCGGGAAGGGGCCTCCCGTCTGCGTGAGCTGCTCCCGCCACTCGGGCCCCCGGGGTCCCTGGGGTCAGACGAGGGTTGGCTCTGGGTCTGTCTCCGGGTCTGAAACGGTTCTTTTCCTCCCAGATTAAGGAGCTCACGGGCAACCTCAGCAGAAACTCGCCACCGTCCAGCCTGTCGCCGGGCTCCGGGGGCACAGACTCCGACTCCTCGTTCCCACCCACGCCCACGGCCGAGAGGAGCGCGGCGCTGTCCGTGAAAGACCAGAGGAAGGCCATCCGGACCCTGCTGGCGTGGGTGCAGCGGAAAACGCGCAAGTGAGCCACGCGCCCGCCGCCCGCCCGCCCGGGCCGCCGCCAGGCAGGGGAGCAGGACCTCCCGGGGGGCGGCGGAGGGGGCCTGGCGGCCATGACGTTAGGCGCCAGTTCCCTGCCGGCTGCTGCGTGGAGCCTGGCAGAGCGGCCGCACGGGCGGGGCATCTGCAGGTGTTGTGCACAGAGAACTGTATTTGCAGAACGTGGTTCGCAGAGAGCTCATGAGAGGATCTGACTACAAAGCAGAGGGGCTTCCCCCGCGTTCAGCCCCACAGTGGGGCTGTCTCTCGGATCCTAAGCGCACGTACACATTTCTTACCAAGCGCCCAGGTGTCGCTCAGTCTGCACCCACTTAACTAGTAACAGTGAAGGCTGCAGCTGATCAGAGCTAGGTTTGGCCTTTCCAAAATGCACACCATGAATTGGAGCCAAGTTCCCGGCCTCCTGTTTGACCCTGCGCGGTAGCAGGCCAGGCCTTTTAGCAGTTGGGTGTCGGGCCTTTAACTGGCGGTGGCCGACAGCCCCTGGGCCTCTGGGCTGTGGGCCAGGCTGGGGAGAAAGCCAGGCCACGCAGGCAAAAGCCACCCCAGCTCAGGGCCACCTCCGCTCTGCCGTGCACACGCCAGGTGGGACCCTGAAGAATCACTTTCCCCGCCGGCCACAGCTGCAAGATGGTCATTTACCATCCGCGGCCTGGCAGGGCGGTTAGGCTGAGATGATAGAGACCCCAGGAAAGTGCCTGTGGCACCAGCACGTTAAAGCGCTGCACAGAGACCCTGTCCCTTCTCCCCGTGCATAGGGGGGAACGGTGAAGGAAAAAAGATGGGAGTGAGGCTGGGTCTTTGGAGCTTTGGTTGAGGGGCAGAGCACAGTGGAGTTGATGTATGCAAATAGTCATTACCTGTTGTTTGAAAAGAAATCAACCCCATGAACCAGGAGATCATGGTTCGATTCCTAGTCAGGTCACATGTCCATGTTGCAGGCTCGACCCCAGTAGGGGGTGTGCAGGAGGCAGCCGATCAACATTTCTCTCTCTCATCCATGTTTCTCTCTCTCCCTCTCTCTTTCTCTCTAATAAAAATAAAACAACCAAAAAGAGTGGGGGTGATGAGGAGGGGAGGTGTCCTTGGGGTGATGCCGCAGTCGGAGTCTCCATGGCTCCCGGCCGTGGCTCCAGGCCTCTGAGCCTGTGGTAAAATGTCACGGCGCATACACCGCCCGTGAAAAGGAAGCTGGGGAGACCCACAAGGCCTGGAGCGCCTTTGGTCGTCTGCCCCGGCGTCAGTGCCCTGGCTGAGACACTCCGGGGCGCACAGTGCTCGCTGCTTTCCAGCTTCTTGTGAATCTTAATGGTTCCTAAATGGAAAAGGTCGGGCTGTTTGTTTCCCAGAGAACTCGGTGGCCACAGGGGGGAAACTGGCAGGTCTCGGGATGGTTTCTAAAGGAAGCGGTGAGGCAGGATCAGCTCTCTGCGTCTCTCACATACGACGTTAGCTGCCACTTAGTGGCTGGCGCCCAGGTGCTGCCTACGTGGCCCATTGGGTGTCCGCCTGCCATGCCCACTCTTGGGGTTCAAGCTCGTATTCTCTGCGACCGCCACCAGGAGGTCACCGTGCGGTGATCCCTGTTTATCCCTGAGGAGCCTGAGGCCTGGCAGGGGCAGGACTTGCCCAAGGCCACAGCCAGGAAGCCTAGAGGGGGCAGCCGGGTGTGCAGGGGGACTTTCTGGTTCCACCGTATTACACAGCGCATGCTGTCTGCTGCTCTGAATGTCACTGATAAGGTGAGCATTATAACGTTGCTCCTTATCTATCTGGACATCGGGGAACACGAGGTCCTTCCTGCGCGGCCTCCTTGTAGGACGCGTACCTTCCCCTTCCATTTGTCCAGAAGGGACATGTGATGGCTCCCTGCAGCTCTCTGGGGCTCGGGGCGCCCGGCCTCGCGCGGTCCGCAGCTCCCAGCCGCACTTGGAGGCCCGAGAGGCTGCTGCGTGCTGACCCCGGCAGTGGCTCTCTTTGCTGAGCTGCTGGGGCCGCCCGCTGCTTTCCCGCAGGTACGGCGTGGCGGTGCAGGACTTCGCGGGCAGCTGGAGGAGTGGGCTGGCGTTCCTGGCTGTGATCAAGGCCATCGACCCCAGCCTGGTGGACATGAAGGCGGCCCTGGAGGACTCCATGCCGGAGAATCTGGAGAAGGCTTTCCGCATCGCGCACGACGCCCTTCACATCCCCAGGCTCCTGGAGCCGGAAGGTAGCGGCGGCTCTCGCGCTCTGCGTCACACATGCTGTCCGGGTAGAAAATACAGAAAATCCGATGACGACGTTTTTATAACGTCTGCGTTCCTACCGCTGAGCTCATGTCTCCAGTGCTTTTTTATGCGTTTAACTACATTTTTAAAAACGTAATGGGATCATTCCGTGTATGCATGGTTTTGTCTCTCCTTTTTTTTACTTAACGTTTTACTTTTGGCGTCAGTGTTTTGCATGGGGCTAGCGTGTCTTCATTACCTATTTCTATTGGGCATTGTGATGTTTCCGAGGCTCTCCTGCCACTGGTGCACCCTGGGCTGTTGCAGAAACAGTCCTGTCTGCATCTCACTGAGCATCTCGCTGAAGGAAGCCCGGGGCCTCTCAATTACCCTCAGGACCAGTCCCATCCGTGTAGCGACAGGTTGGAAAGGACACGCCCCTCCAGGGCACTTGGCTCTCACTGTCCGATGGGCTCCCCAGTGGGCCAGGCTAGTGTGGGGCTCCCCCCAGCAGCGAGGAAGGTCCTGGGTGACTGTACCCGCTGACAGAGCTGCCGGGAGCTGGCGGCTCACAGTGGTGGGACGGAGAGGAGTAATGGATGACCTTGGGAATAAGGAGTCCTGGGTTCTACACTCGGGCCCCCCATTCACCAGCCTTCAGTCCAGTAAGTGTGAGGCTCGGGGCTCAGGGCGCCCGAGTAAGATTCCCCCTCTCGGCCTGATTTCCCTCCAGTGTGAGACGGGAAAAACCGCGGCGGCCAGCGGATCCCTCGCACCGGGCGTCCTGCGCGGGCCTCTTTGAAGACCGCATGTTCACGTGGCCTTCTAACGCCCGTGTCTCTCTTAACAGACATCATGGTTGACACGCCGGACGAGCAGTCTATCGTGACTTACGTGGCACAGTTTCTAGAACATTTCCCGGAGCTGGAAGCCGTATGTTGGTTTTCCTTGCCTTTAATTCTGAAACTACGTTTCCACCCACTGAAGCTGGGGCTTGGGCTGTGTTGTTTGAGGAGGGGGAATCATCAAAACTTGATCTCAAGCCCCTTGAGCGTTGCCCTGCCCCACGTTAATTTCAAAATCACGTATGATGTGTATTATGTGAAAAGCAGGACGGGAAGTTAGGCAGCTACGCCTCTCGCAAACCTCTTCACATGCCAAACTGTACTAAGGTTATAAAAGATGCTCGCATTAATATGGGTAACTTGCTTGATTTTTTAGATGTCAGATAGAACATTTTAGCAGTCTGGCAGATTTTATCAGAGTGTGAAAATTTATAAAAGACAATGTTCAAAACACACCTGTAACAATTTTTTTTAAATGTATTTTTATTTTTTCAGAGAGGAAAGGAGAGGGAAAGAGAGATAGAAATATCAATGATGAAAGAGAATCATTGATTGGCTGCCTCCTGCACGTCCCCTACTAGGGATCAAGCCTACAACCCCAGCATGTGCCCTTGACTGGAATCGAACCTGGGACCCTTCAGTCCACAGGCCAACACTCTATCCACTCTATCCAAACAGGCTAGGACTGTTATTATTTTTATAATAATACAATATATAGTCTAATATATTAAATTGTGCAGCTGTATACATTATACAATCCTATCTAAGAATAGACAAACATGGTAATTGACCGTACCTTCGCTACGCCTCCCATGGGCTAATCAGCGAGATATGCAAATTAACCACCAACAAAGATGGCGATTAATTTGCATACGTAGGCACGAAGCGGCGGAGCAAAGACTGAAGGCGACTCTGGCCGGAGCCGCGAAGGCTTGAAGGCGGCTCCGGCCGGAGCAAAGGCCTGGGTCCCGGGTGCTGGAGGAAAACTGGTGCTGGCAGCCACGGGAGGGGAAGGGAAGGCCTGTTGCACGAATCTTTTCGTGCAACAGGCCTCTAGTATCTATATAATATAAAAGCCTAAGCGACCGTTCAACCGATATCTATGATGCACACTGACACCATAGGCAAATGCTCAACGCACAGGCATGGAAACATGGAACAGGCTGATGAACCTCAGAAGGAAGGTCAGGAAGAGATTAACCAAAGATCTTATATGTATACTAGAGGCCCGGTGCACGCATCTGTGCACCCGCGGGGTCCCTCAGCCTGGCCTGTGGGGATTGGGCCAAAACTGGCAGTCGGACATCCCCCGAGGGGTTCCGGATTGTGAGAGGGCGCAGGCCAGGCCAAGGGACCCCACCGGTGCTTGAATCTGTGCACCAGGCCTCTAGTATGGTATAATAATATTTTGTAAATTTCCTAGTCCATGATTAAACTCGGGGATACTTAGCCCTGAGCCCTTAAGATGTAGGCAAAGTTTGAAATCAACTCAAACTTACGGTGTTTGTAGGGGTCACAGCCAGGATTCAGCAGTTCTGACACTTGGCTCTCCCCAGTGCTGCAGACAGGGCGGGGGAAGGAGAGGTGGAGCAGGATGGGACCTGACAAAGTCCCCCTGAGTCCCAGAACATAGTGCGTCACCACAGAACAGTCCATACACATCCCCAGGGGACAACAGACAACAAGCCCCCACTAATCTAGGCACCATCGGACTGTTCCTTGGCAGTTCAGCCGAGTGTAGTTCATTTCAGCAGACATTCTCTAAGCCCTAGCCGTCCGTGTACCGGACACTGTGCCCAGCTTGCTGTCCCCATATGTAGTTTACTTTGGTTACGTGTGCCATATGCACTTGAAAAGAATGTGTCCTACGCGTGGAAAGAATTAACATTCTTTGAGTATCAGTTAGGTCGGGTTGGTCAATGTGCTGTTCTCACACCCTATAGGCATACTGCTATTTTTTCTTCTTTCCCTATCGGTGAGTGTGAGAGAGAAATGTTTAAAATCTCCAACTCGTGACTGTGGGCTTGTTTTCCTTCGCTCTGTCAGTCTTCGCTGTGTGGATGCTGAAGCCATGCTATGGACGCACACACACTTAGGATGGGTGTAGCGCCCTGGTGACTCGGTGGTTGTAGTTTTACGCAGGTTCTTTCTTTCTCTGGCAGGGTACTTTGTCTGATAGAAGTATGTAGCCATAGCGGCTTTCTCATGCTGTTTGCACGATATGTCTTTTTCCTTCTCTTTCTTTGCAGTGTGTGTGCGCTAACATTTTAACACGTCTCTTATAAACAGTTTATCGTCAGGTCTTGCTTTCTGTCCATTCTGACAAGAATTAGCACGTCATTTAACTAGTGTGTTTTTCGGCCATTTACGGAGATTTCATCTACCATCTTGACCCTTGTTCTCCACTGGTCCTGCCTGTGCTCTGCTCCTTTGTTCTTCCTGCCTAACCTTTTTTGGATGATTCAATTATTCTTTTGTTTCCGTTTTAGCTCCACTGTGGGCTTTTCAGCCACCTCTCCTTGTTTTATCTTCTTAGTAGTTGTTCTAGGGGTTATAATACTCATCTTGAACATACCTCAGTCTACGTTGAATTCCTATTATAACATTTGCAGTAAAATGGATTTTTTATATATTTTATATATGTAAACATTTAATTCCACTCACTTCCTCTCCATTCCTTTGTGCTACTACTGTCATTTACCTCACTTCTCTATATTCTAATCCCAATACTTTGTCACATTTTTGCTTTAAATAGTTAGGAGGCTTTTTAAGAAAACTTTTTCGTTTTTTGATATTGACCCTATATTTACTATTTCAGGCACTTTTCATTCCCTCCTTCAGATCCTGGCTTCCCTCTATGATCATTTCTCTTCAGCCCAAAGAACTGCCTGTGTATTTCTTGTAGCATAGGTTAAATAGTTAATTTCAGCATCTTTATCTGCTGGTTCTAATCTTGGCTCATATATGGGTCTACTTCTAATGACAGTTGTTTCTCTCCTTTATGGGTCTCATTCCCCTGCTTCTTGGTATCTTAACATTGTTTCTTTTATGTCAGACCTAGTGTATAAATGAACATTCCCTCCCTCTCCCCCACCCCCAAGAATGTAGTCCTTTCCTAAACAAGGGTTTACAATGAGGAACTAATCGTTTTGGCCTTCCCAGGACTCAGTAAGGGATATGGTGCAGTTTTATTTAGTTTTGGCTTTCTGGTTTCACATCATTTTAAGATGAGGTCAACACACCGATTCCACACGTGCACCGGGTGCCAACCACGGCAATACCCCAGGTCACTCTCTGCTTTGCAGCCCTGCCCACAGCTGTTTCTTACTCAGCAAATGTCCCCGTGTGGGAGACTTAGCATACTGTCAGGAGATTTGGTTTTGCATTTGGGGTCCTTTTAGATTCATACCTGCCCACACAATCAGTGAAGGGTGGGCTGATCTTTCCTTATCTCAGGTGGGTCAGCACTCCTCCTATCCATCCCCAGACTAGGCAGTGGCCCACCGAAGCTGACAGTCACCTGTCCTGTGTGGCTCAGAGGTTGAACGTCAACCTTGGAACAGGAGGTCACGGTTCGATTCCCGTGGGCAGGGCAATGCCGGGGTTGTGGGTTCAATCCCCAGTGGGGCTGTGCAGGAGGCAGCTGATCAGTGATTCTCTCATATCAATGATGAGAGAGAATCATTGATCTATCTCTCCCTCTCCCCCTCCCTGAAATCAATAAAAATATATTGGAAAAACAAAGCTGAAAATCTTTGCTCACTTAGAAGGGCTCATCCTACTTACTTTAGTGCATTGAGATTTCTTTGTATCCAGAGCTGGGAAATGCAGTCTTTGTGAAATACTGTGGCAGAAACAGTAGTCCTTGGCACCCATCTGCACGTTAGTTACAACACTGAGCGTTCGCTCCGAAGCCACCTTCCTGCTCTGGGCCGTGCCCTTTGAGAGGGGATACGCTGTACTTCAAGGTGCTGCTGACACCCTGTTGCCCTGTGTTTGTCCGCAGGAGGATTTTGTGGACCCAGATAAAGACGCCCCGATCGAGTCCACCTTCGTCCGCATTAAAGAAACGCCCTCGGAGCAGGAGAGCACCGTCTTCTATGTGACTGACGACGGGGAGCGGGCCTACACCGTCAACCACGACACCAGCCACCCGCCCCCCTCCAAGGTCTTCGTCTGCGACAAGCCCGCGTGCGGGAAGAACTCCCGCCCGGGTGGCGCTTCTGGCCCCACGCCGGCAAACAGCCCCCCCGAGGTCACACAGCAGGGCACGGACTGGGACACCCTCGGGGCCGCCGGCAGGACCTGCAGCCTCAGCGAGCCGCCTCCAGAATTTTCCATCTTATCCAGAAAGGACAACCAGAGGTCCAGCTCCCTGCCGGTCAAGAAAACGGTGCACTTTGAAGCGGACGTCTACAAGGACGCCTCCTGCAGCAAGGACCCCGTCCACGGCCAAGACTGCGGCTTCGAAGGCGGCCCGCGGGGGACCAAGGACTTGTGGAAGCAGGATGGGCACGGCCCGGAGGTCGCCCAGGAAAGGCCGGAGGCAGCCCCGGACCAGGCCCCGGGCGATGATTGCCCGGCGGACCGTCAGACCGGCCCTTCTCAGACCCCCCAGGGCTCTGCCCCCCGGAACAGGGCCTCGGAGCGGCCGGCCAGCCCGGGCGAGGAGGGCTGCCCCCGGGCGCGCCTCGGAGAGGAGACCGTGTTGGCCGATTCCTCGGAGATCAAGGTGACGCTGCAGACCGGAGAGGCCACGGACGAGGTAGACGATTTCGAAGGCATACCCCTGAAAGCCTCTAAATTTAACAGTGACCTCGTCGATTTTGCCTCCACCAGCCAGGCTTTCGGCGAGGACCCCCCGCCCGCGGAGGACGGGCCCGCGGAGGCGGAGGCTGCGGAGGAGCAGGCCGAGAACCGGGGGAACGGGAGAAGCACGTCCGCCCCCAGGATGGAAGGTGCGGACGAGCCCCCGGGGCAGCCCGGACACGAAGACCACAGCCGTGTGGTGGCCCCAGAGGAGGAGCCGGGGGGCAGGAAGCCAGAGGTGTATGAAAAGGCGAAGTGCAAGTCCCCACGGCCCCCGCGCGGGGAGGAGGAGGCGGAGGCCGAGGACCCCCCCGCGTTTGTGGGGGACTTGCCCTCCAACCCGCCCAGCAGCCAAGTGAGCCTGGAGACCCTGGGCAGCCACAGCGAGGAAGGCCTGGACTTCAGGCCCTCCCCGCCCCTCTCCAAGGTCTCCGTCATCCCGCACGACCTCTTCTACTACCCACACTACGAGGTGCCCCTGGCCGCCGTCCTGGAGGCGTACGCGGAAGGCCAGGAGGATTTCAAAGCCGAAGACGCGGACTTTGAGGACCCGGAGGACTACCTGTCTGACCTGGAGCAAAGGGAGGACGAGGACGAGCCCGAGGCCTCCGAGAGCAGCGGCAGCTTCGGGGGCCTGGGCGAGGACCTCCCCCGGCCCCCCACCCAGGAGCCCGACAGGGACCAGGGAGCACAGGGGGCCAAGCCAGCCTCGGGCCCTCCCCCCGCCCTGGCCCCAGAGGACCACCAGCAGAGGGAGGCCACAGCCCGCGCCCCTGGGGCGAGCCAGCAGGTAGGGGCCGCCCCCTGGGAGTTCCGCCTCCAGAGCTCAGCTCCTGCCCCGGCACAGCCTCCCTCCCAGGGCCCCGCCAGTCTCGCGGCTGGATGGTCTCTCCCAGGAGAGGTGCGCGTTTGCGATTCAGGTTTGGGCTCTGGAGACCCCCTGACGGCCTGCAATTGGGAGACGAAGGTGTGTTTTGCGTGGTAGTTTGGGGTGAAAGGTGAAGGTAGGGTGCACTGAAGCCCAAGATAGACGACGATGCTCTGGCTCACGCACTGGAGGGGTGGAGGAATGAGCCGGCTTGCCGCTGGGAGGCCGAAGGAGGAGGGGGTCCGAGCAGCCTTATGAGGCACTCAGCGTTTAGGTCAGCGTGGTCACTTGTGCTTATCGGTTTGCCAGCTCTGGACAGGGGTGTGCAGCTCTCAGGAGCGCGGTGGGAGCTCCTATTGCCCTGGGAGTCGGGGGCACTCACTCTGTCCATCTTGGGATGGAGTAGAGGGCTGGATGGGTCCCCAGGGACCCGCTGCCATCTCCCCGTTTGCCCCCACGTGAAGGGACCTGACCCCAGTCCTCCACCCACTCTACCTGCTGTCTGCAGGCTTGTGGGAGGCCAGCCCTGTCCCAGAAGGCTCTTCCTGCCAGAAACCCCAAGATCCAGGGGTTAGAAATGTCCCTCAGTGAGCTCAGGTCTTGGGGTCCTCAGACTGGGGGGCCGTGACAGCAAATGGGGCTATTCTCTGGGTGGTTATGGGCCAAAAATCTCTTAGGACAAAAGACAGGGGACCGAGTGTTGGTGGGAAGAAAGCCCGTGTTGACCCTCTGCCCCTCTGTGATACTTGAAATGGCTAATTAGGGGCTCAGCCCCCCTCCCTCTGCCTCCGGCTGGCTGAACGTGGCCTATGGAATCAATCGCAGATGAGGCGCTTCGATCTCTTCCGCTTTCCTTGCGGTCATTGCTGAAAGTAGGTTGCACACCTGCTCGTGTGCCCCGCCAGTGGCCAGTGCTTTGGGGTGGGGCTGCGGAGCACTGGGCCGGGAGTGAAACCAGAACCTAGACTGGAACTCTGATACTGAGCCGGGTCTGCTCTCGGCCCTGATCTGCTCCCTCTGGCTCTCACCTGTCCCCCGAGCAGTGCCCACTGCTCTCCAGCCCACCTTGTTGTTGGCCCGAGTGTAGCCCTGGCCTTGGTCCCTGTGGGTCCGCCGAGGGAGGGAGTGCAGCTCGGAGTGGCAGGGGAGGTCTGTGAGCCTTGCCCCTGGGCAGCCAGGACAGCACAGGAGGGAGCATCTCTCTGATGCCTGGCCCTCCTTGAAAAAAGGAAAATATGCCTTCAAAAGAGACCAGAAAATGGCAGGTTCTTCTAGTCTTTAAAAAAAAAAGGTGTCTCCTCATTTCACCTCTCAGAAAGGTACCACTGATGACGGAGGAGGGCTGGAGTTTCAGTTGCCGAGGGCGGTTTACTCTCTGCACAGGCCATTGTTCTGTGGCTGCGCAGGCCGGCAGCTCAGTGCTTAGTCCACCGCCTGTGGAGCAGGTTCCTCCGGCCCCGAAGGAATTCTCGAGACACTGCTCCAACGTTCCCACGCTTCTTGGTTTCACTCGCGAGCACTGCCAACGGGTTTCAGAGTGTTGGCTGTAGACACGGCTCAAAGAACGTTCCTTATCCAGTAAGCGTGAGAGGTGCCCTATAATCCACCTCTGGCCAGGGCACAGGGAAGGGTCCTCCCACCAGCTGTACGTGTGTCTGTGTGTGCACGTCTCCAAACTCGGGCGACCTTGCACCCTTGGGCCCCCCTGGCTTCCAGGAGTCGTTTCTCTGTTTAAGCGGCTGATGGTTGTGTGAAGGGTCCAACCATTGCCCGTTGTGAGGGACATCCTTTATAGGAAGCACAATCATGTTGTGGGAAGAGGTTGGTCATCATTATACCCACTAGAGGCCCGGTGCACGAAATTTGTGTACGGGGAGGGGAGGTGGTCCCTTCAGCCCAGCCTGCATCCTCTCCAATCCAGGACCCCTCGGGGGATGTCCGACTGCTGGTTTAGGCCCGATCCCTGGGGATTGGGCCTAAACCAGCAGTCGGACATCCCTCTCACAATTCTGGACCGCTGGCTCCTAATCACTCACCTGCCTGCCTGCCTGGTTGACCCTAACTGCCCCGCCACCGTTGGCCTGATCGTCCCTCGCTGCCTGTATGTGCCGGCCTGATCGCCCCTAACTGCCCCCTCTGCTGGCCTGGTTGTCCCTTGCTAGCCCCCCTGCCAGCCTAATCGCCCCCAACTGCACTCCTGCACCCCACCCCACCCCACTGGCCTGGTTGCCCCCAACTATCCCTCCCCCTGCCAGCCTGATAGCCTCTTACTGCCCCCCTCTGCTGGCCTGGTCGCCCCCAATTGTACCCCCCTGCCAGCTTGGTTGCTCCTAACTGCCACCCTGCCGGCCTGGTCACCCCAACTGCCTCCCCTGTTGGCCTGGTCATCCCCAACTGCTCCGCCCCCCCCCCCCCCCCGCCGGCCTGGTCACCCCTCACGGCCCCCCTGCCAGCCTGGTCGCCCCATGCAGCCTGTTTGTTCAGTTGTTTGGTCATCCCTCACTAACCCCCTGCCGGCCTGGTCATAGGCAGCCATCTTGTGTGGGTTTGAGGGTCAATTTGCATATTACCTCTTTATTATATAGGGTTTGACAGACAAGGAAACTGAGGGTCAGAGAGAGAAAGTCAGTCACTCAAGGTCAGAGAGCTGACTTGGTCAGGGTTTTAAACTAGAGTCTGCGGACTCTAGACCTCCTGGCATTTCACCGCACCTGTTGGGAGCATTTGAACTCTGCACTGGGGACAGGAGTTCGGATGGCCCCCCTTCCCCGGCAGGCTGTGCTGGAGGGAATTCGTGGGAGAGGCAGAGTGAGAGGGAGGCCCCCTCTGGGCCTTGGATCCAGGTGCGGGATGGTGTCACCCACTGGGTATCTCAGCATGAAATGCTGACTTATATTTGGTTGTCTTGTCCTTAAGTCCCAGGAATCCCCAAACTCAGAAAACTTAAGAAACGCTTTAGAAGAAAAAGTGATGGAAGAATCGGTCAGCAGCAAAAAAAAGGAAAAAAAGAAGCATGTGGACGACGTAGAAAGTTCAATATTGCTCACCCCCGGGGCTGTGCGGTCCTCCGACGAGCTGGACGAAGACCCTGGCTTCCACAGAGTCCCTTCCAGGTACTGTGTCGCCATCTCCTCACCCGGGAGACCCAGCTAGAGAGAGAGGGTCTCTGAACCCAGCACATTGTTAGTTTCTGACGTGACGGGGTTGGGGGGTGGGACTGGCAGCAAAGGAAACTTTGTAAGAAGGTTCTTCCGATTCATACCAAGTTCGTCTGGCAAGGTGGCCATCTGCCATAATCAGAAACTGACTCCTCAGCTCTCCACCTGGGTCCCCGCCGGCCCTCACCGTCGCCAGGCCTGCTGACAAACAGCACAGCGGGAAGACGGGAGCCTGCCCCTGCCTCCTCCAGGTCCCTGTGGGGGAAGGGCAGTGAGCAGAGACGTGGCTGGGCCGCGGGGAGGTGTGGGGTGTGCCGAGCAATGGCCGGCCCGGCCCGCAGGTGACCGCAGGTTGCGCAGTTAGAAATGGGACGTAGCTGACTATCAGAGTCCTCCAGACTTGGGAGGGCTGAGCCGCATGGGGCCCGAGGGACCTGTCTCAGCTGTCACATGGAATTTGGACTTTAACGCCATGGCTTCGCCCGGGAGTTTGGTTCTAAAGAGCTCAGGATGGTTCCTTTTTGTCAGGGAGGATCATGAACTTGAACTGATGGGCACGAGGCATGTAGGTACATCCACTCTGTCCTCCCCGGCCACCAGGTGGGCCGGATTCGTCCCAGGGAAAACATGGAACTGCTGACTTCCAGGGGACCCTGGCCTCTCCCCATTATCACTCCTGTCACGGGGTCTCTGTTTGCCCTTGTGGTCAGGCATCTCCTATGCGTTTCCTCTTTAACTCCCCCGGCACCCCCAGAGGCGGGGGCTAGGATTGTGCCTCATGATGGCGGACAAGGAGGCTCGCAGCAGCCCTCAGCCTAGGACGCCACAGAGCTGGGTCTCGGACTCAGACCTGTGGGACTGCACCACCATGTGCATTCCTGGCCCCTCGTGGCCTTGCAGGGGGAGCCATCCTGGCTGCAAAGGGAAGCTGGTGAGGTTTGCGTGTGGGGTGGTGAGAAGCCCAGACGGGAGAGCCGAGAAGTGGCTGGCAGATGCTCAGCCTCCCGCCTCCCCTCTGCCCTGCTTCGAGGGGGGGGGGGGGGGGCACAATGGGAGACTGCTACCACCTTTGGCCCTGACTCCAGAGTCCCTCTCCCCGCCCGTTTCGTGACTGTCCAGCAGACACCTGTGTCTTAGCGTGGAGCTGGGCTGCTGTACGTGCTGCTGACTCTGTAGGCACACGGCCCGCTGTCACCTACTCGATCACAGCCTGGGGAGGGGCCGAGGGTCACTTGTCAGGCCGCTTAGCTTCTCCCTAAGAAGTTAGTTCTCAGTGATGTGTGGGCAGCCACCTGTGATGGTGTCCACGAGGCTTGGGGACTTCCGAGGAGGTCAGTCACAGCGGGGTGCAGGCTCGGCTCTGTCCTCCAGGGCCTCCTAGCTGGAGAGAGAAGACGGCTCCTTCCGGTCTCCCAGGACTAGGCCTGGAGGGGACGGACGCCTCAGGTGTCAAGAGGCAAGTGGGGATTTCACGGTTTAGGCCTCAGAGGCAGATGGAGGGTCAGGGTGGCGTGGGGGCTGGCCTGTCATTTGCGGTGAGCGCTGAGGATTCTGCGGGATTTGGACCTGGGGGAGGGAGAGAAGGGAAGGCATCACAGATGAAGGAAACAGCTGGGCAGGCGTCTGGCATGGGGGCGCTCAGTACACATGGTGGCATGCGGCGGGCAGGAGGAGAGGTGGGCGTGGGGAAGGAGCGGCGGGCGGGGCATGTGCGGGTGTGCTCCTGAGTGTGACTAGTGAGGACCGCGGGGCCCTCCTGGGGCCCGGCCCGCTCACCTGCTCCCTGCAGTGTGGATGGTGCTGAGTTTAAAGTCAGGACCTGGCCCCAGGCGACTGAATGGGACTGAGCTCTGGGCATTTCTCTTCCCAGGATGCTTTTCCGACTGTTTCTTGGCTCAGTCACCACCTGTGGTTTCCTATTGGTCGAGGCAGGAAGGGCCTGGGTCCCCAGCCTGCTGGACCCTCGTGAGCTGCCTCCCAGCTTCGTCTCCGTCCACCTCAGGCACCCTGCCCCCTTCTCCCCGCGCTCCAGGCACCTGGTGTTAGTTGAGGTCCTTGAATGCCCACCCCCTCATCCAAGTTCCTTCACCTTTGAGGACCCTCTGTCCCCTGCCTGTCTCCTGCCGTGCTGCTCCCTTGGGTCCATCCCAGCTTCACTTCCACTTCCTCCAGGCAGCCTTCTTGGATTCCTCCAGGCTGTCTTTGACCCGCCTTTCTATGTTCTCACAGCCCCTGCTCTTGTCAGAGCAGGGCTTCTCTAATCACTTGTGGAAGAGCATGTTTACCAGGGCTCCCCACTGGAGGTGGGCCAGTGCCCTGGGGGCGGGGAGGGCGCATCAGCATTGCCCGTGCCCTTAGCACAGCCTGGCTGCAGCTGGCATTCAGGAGGCGTTCTGTGGGTGGACAAATAAAGGAAGGAACGTATGCTTACAGGCAGTGGCTGGCTCCCTGGGGGGCGGGGCCTGGGCACCTGGCCCAGTGCCTGGCGCCCGTCGGCTCTGAGGGTGCTGTGCGTGCTCGGAGATCCACGTTCAGGGAGCAGACCTTCGTCTCCTGCGGATGGCACTGTGACACAGCCCACCTAGAGAACGCATCTGGGAGCGGGGTGGGCAGAGCGGGAGGCCCCGCCCTGGGGGGATGCGCTTTTTGCCAGAAAACATCACAAATCCGGGAGAGAGTGCCTGCACCCGGGCCCTAGCGCTGCGCCCGCTCTCAAGGACACGGCAGGGGGGCTCTTTTCTTTGTGGGCGAGTGTTGTTGTTTCATTCTGGTGCCGTGACACCAGCACAAACCAGCACAGGCTCTGGGTGAAGGACAGGGCTGAGGTTTCCCCGAGGCCTGGCCGGGCGCCCCGCACCAAGCAGTCCCTGAAATGTGCCCGGTGCGCAGGCAGGGCTGGCTGATGTTGGCAGAACTGCAGGGGACGGGCGAACCTGGGCTTCGCTGGGGAATGCCTTCAGGGTCAGCTCTGCATCCGATGCCTTGTTTCCGGCCCCCAGGGTGCCACACAGTCGGTCTCCCGGGAGGAAACTGAGATAACTGTCTGCCGGCACGTTGACACCCAGCATCTAGTTTTCCTGCTAAGCCACCAGAGGGGCCACTCTGACCTGTTACCCACCCCCAGCTGTGTGAAGTACGGGGGGGGGGGGGAGTGATCCATTTTAGAGACGAGGAAAACTGACCGTAGACGGTCAGATCTATTCCACATCAGCCTCAAAGCCACAGCCAGGAAATCAGCCTCATCGCGCATGAGAAGCGGGCGTCCAGCCAAGGGTTAGCCGAGCTGAGGGCAGGCGGTGCCTGGGACGCAGCCCTGGGAGGGTGCGGGTTCCAGGTCATGGCCCAGGTCTGACCTCCGCTCTTCCAACCCTTGGGTGGACCTGCAGAGGGCGTATGGCAGGCCCCAGACGTCGGGCTGCTGGGAAAAGAGAGCCCTTTCTGCTGCAAAATCCTGTGACTTTCGAGAACACGTGCTTTGCTTTCCGTGTGCAGTGCTTGCTCACTGTGTCTCACATCCATCCTGGTGTCTGTAGCCCTCTCCCGCCCGCGTGGACGTCCTGGGTGGAAGGTCTCGTCTCCCTCGCCGGGTCTGAAGTCGCGGTTTGCCTAATGCGATGCAGAAGCTTCGGGAGGTGGGGGAGCCCCGCTGAGCCACGCGGAGCTGTTGGTGGCACCAATTCAAAACGTGTGTTTGTTTTTCAGGACTAGCCACAGCGACTCCAGCATTTACATTCGACGACATACTAACAGGTCTTTGGAATCGGTTAGTATGCGAATTTCTTCTTCTTCTGAGCGCCACTGCTAATCACTTCCTTTCCATCCTTCCTCCTCCCCAGCATGCAACAACTATACTTTTGGATAGAAGGCAAGCACATTGAAATCTTGTTGTTAAGCACAGTCCAGTCGGATGTCCAGTTTGGGCCATAGGGGATGTAAATAAAGTGATGATTTTAAAGCCCGAAGGTCTCTTTGTTATATAAGAAAATGCACCCAATGCCCCCGCCCCCACCATACCCAGAAAGAGAAGTTCAATGGCAGGTGCAGCGGGAGAGGAGGGTCCTTGACGCTTGCAACAACGTGGCTCTGCTTGTGTTGGCACCCAAAGCACCATGGTCCACGGCCCTGACCCAGGGGATGGGGCCCCCAGTCCGGGGTGGGCCGGGGAGAGGGTGGAATACTGTGGAACATGGCTGAGCACGTGGCCTCAGGAACTAGGTGTGTACGATATTGAGAGAAGCGGGGCGTGCTCAGCTTTGTATGTTTAAAACCATTTTATTTTCTGTTTCAGAGATTTCATCTTTACTAATTGGGTTGCGGGGGTTTTGTTTATGAATTTCACTGTAGGATCACTCTAGCTATGTTCAGTTGAGGAATGCAGCCGATCTGGATGACAGAAGAAACCGAATGTTAACCAGGTTGGTGGCTTCCCTCCAAGGGTGGTGGGGTTTCAAAAAACCTCTTTCTGTTTTAATTGTGCAGCCAGCCGTCTGCAAAAGGTGGGGGCGGGGTGGCTATTCCCCAGCGAGGCTTTGTCGATAACAAAATGCAGTCTGAGATCATGCCGAAGAGCTTCACGTCCCCGGGGGGATGAATGGGAACTGGCGAAGAGTGGGAGGGAAGAGTGACATTAACGAGCGGAAAGCGCGGCTCCGTGTGGAGACAGGCGTGGGTCGGGCACCTGCCTGTGAGCAGCGTGTGCTGGGGGCCAGGGAGGGCCAGGCGGGAGCGGAAGGGGTGCGATGCTGGGAATGCCATGCGCTGACGGCCCTGTTCGTTCTGTCGCCACTGCAGGTACAATACTCAGAGGCTCACTGAGCTGATTTTACAGTTTTATGGCGTCAGAGCAGACATGAAGAGGGAGTGCAAACATGCCAGGATGTCCATGAAAGTATCTCTTACCGTGGAGAACTAGGCTAAGCTGCCGCACCGCTGCCCGCTTAGGGCCTAGGGAGCCAGGAAGCCTCTAACACCAAGCCAGGCCTGCTCCCGGGGCCCGTGCGAGTCGCTGACTCGCTTCATTTTGCTGATCTTTTTTTAATATCTGCCACGGATTTGAATGGGCATGGAAGGACTTGCATGATTGGAACGGAAAACCTCTGCCTGAAAGTTCCCCCGCCCCCAGGAGTGTGATGGCCGGAGTCCCGCCTCTGCGGCGCCTCACTGGAGGCCAGACCTGTTCCCTCTCCTGCCGTCACATGGAGAGATGAACTCACATTTTCCGTCAGGCTCGACACACTCCTGGGGAAACGGCGCTTAGCTTTTATGAGGGGGTCACTCGGAAAATGGAACAGGCAAGGTGGAGACGTGCGGTCAGTTTTCCACATTGTTTTTTTAAAAAAATACATTTTTACTGATTTCAGAGAGGAAGGGAGAGGGAGAGAAACATCAGTGATGAGAGAGAATCGTTGATCGGCGGCCTCCTGCACACCCCCTCCTGGGGATGGAGCCCGCAACCCGGGCACATGCCCTGAGCGGGAATCCAGCTGTGACTTCCGGTTCACAGGTCGCTGCTCAACCACTGAGCCACACCAGCCCGGCAGTTTCCCGTGATTTTGAACATTTATTACCTTTGCAATAAAGAATATAGTTTAAATTTTCTCTAAAAACAGTTTTGAGAAAGAGAAAGCAACTCTGTCCATTGTCGGGTTTCCGCATGTGAATCGCTGGGTTCCTAGGCCAAGGCCTGGCCTGGCCTGTCATTGTGTGGGAGACAGTCGGGATGAAGTAGGGTTCCCTCTCAGAGCTTCCATCACAAGCCCCCCAAAACGTCCCAGTGAGCTCCAAGCAGAGGCTCCCAGCACCCCTTCCAACCAGATGTGAAAATTTGGAACTTCTGGGCTTTATCCACCAGGCAAAAGCTAAAGGTTGCTTTAATGCTGCCTTCTGTGGGAAAAAAAAAAAGAAGAAGAAGAAGAAAGACTAATCTGACCAAAACCAAATCTAGTCATTAATTATTTAAAAGCCCAAAACCAAACTTGGTGGTAGTTTTTGGGTTTTGGCATTTGTTTCTGACCGCTGTTTTCAAATGATCTGACATCAGGGAATGCTCTCTTCCTTTGTATGACCCAGGAAGTCCCCTCTGTCCCTGATAATAGAACTGCCCGTGTCTAACGGTGTTCAGGCCACTGAGGTGGCAAGGAAGGTGTCCTGGCCTGGGAGTGAGACCTGGGCCAGAGCCCGGCTCTATCACAGTCATCGTGTGGCCTGGGCAAGCCCCGTCACCCAGTGAGTCTCAGTCTGCCCAGCTGTGCAATGGGCTCACAGCCCCTCCCTCTTCGTGCTGCGGACGCCTGGCCCCTAGCGCCCTCCTTGGGTCTCCATGTGGACTGCGGGGGCCCGTGGGTGCCTCCCTGGGCTGCCCGCAGCTCTCCGGTTGGGCAGCCAGGTGGGAGCATGGGAGCGGTGGGGTCCGCTCCCCCGGGTCCCGCTTATAACAGCCGTGTCTCCCTCCTGCAGGAAGGCCAACCACTCGGGTGAAGCCTCACTGCGGGAGAGCCAGAGCCCGCACAGCGACTCCCTGACGCAGTTCGTCCAGCAGCCGGACATGATGTACTTCATCCTGTTCCTCTGGCTGCTGGTGTACTGCCTGCTGCTCTTCCCCCAGCTCGACGTCAACAGACTCTGAGCGCGTCCGCGCAATAAAGAGACCGGACCGGCCGGCGGGAGTGCCTTCTCTCTCACTGTCTCCGGGCCCTGCACAGGGACCTCTGCACACAGCTGAGCGTCTCCCAGCAAACGCGGACGCCTCGCTTTTTTCCTTCACGATTCCTTTTCCTCCTGGGCGTCCTGAGCGTGCGTTCTCTCAGGCCGCGCCCTCGGCCTCCGGGGTGCGGGCCCCGTGGGCTCTGTGCTGCGTGCCTTGCTTTGTCAGCATCTAGCCAGCGCCCGGGCTCAGCCCGTCCCACACGCGGTCCTCAAGGTCCTGGGTGGCCTTGGGTTCCTCCCCCTCCCGGTGAGAAAGGGGGTGGAGGCCCCAGGCAGAGCCGCCTCTGGGCCGAGGGGGCGCGGGAGCAAAGGGGCCTGGTGTCCCTGCACCTGTGTGGTCTGGCGGCTGGGGGGACATCCGAGGGGGACACACGGCTGCCACCCCCAGGAAGGCATCTGCGAAAAGCAGAATCCAAACAGGGAAGCGACCGTTGTACGTGAGCTGCGGGGCGCTGGCGCTGTTTCGCCCGCGGTGTTTGTTTTCAAATGAATTCTTGGGGCGGAGTGTGGGCAGTCTAGATGATCTATAAAAGCAGAGTTCTGGCTGACGCGGGGCGGGCCTGGGACCCCTCCCACTTTGCCCAGGCAGCCCCCTGGCTTCCGTGGGGGGCTCCTGAGGGGTCTGTGCTAACCCCCAAGGCTCCACCTGGCACTGCAGCTGCCCTAGCAAAAGCTGAAGGACGACTACAGAAGAGGCTGGGCCAGGAACCAGCTCCGGCTGATGGTGCAGCTGGACGTGGTCCAGCAGGTTCCTGCCCAAGACAGCCTGGCGCTCCTGCCTGGGCGTGCGGTCTCGGCTCGGGCATCCTTTGTGGTCCTTCGCTACGGTTTCCTGAAAAGGCAGGCGGTTTGGGAGAGGAGAGGGCACCCAGCCGCCCTCCCACCCTCCAGCTGGGCTCCCTCTGCACCTGCTTCCTGCAGAGATGCAGGTCCCGGGGCCATGTGGCTTCCTCCCCAGAGAGAATAAGTCAGGTGACACTTGTCAGCCACAAGCGGTCAGGCCAGGAGGGACCCTCAGACAGCACCTGGTCCAGCTGAACCCCGAGAGGCAGAGGGGAATGGCCAAAGTCGCCCACCTCCCCAGGAGCAGACTTGCCAGCACCCCAGGCCACCCAGCACCCAGCCCAGAGTCACCCCTTCTAGGGAATTCCCATTGTGCCCATGAATGTCCTGAAGAAAAAAAGGAGAAAATGGTTAGATAAGAATGACCTTCTTGGAAGCAAAACCAGGATTTTTAGGCCAACTCTCAGCCTCTGTTTCGTTCTTGGATGTTCCCACTAAGAGTTTCTATTCATTCTCAAGCCCGTCCCCGCTTCCTGCTGGGGACCCTTGGCCGCTGACAGACCAGCCTTGCTCTCACTCCAGGAACCACGTGTGGCTCTCGCAAAGCCAAGGACTCGTGTACATCAGGCAGCGAGGTTCACGTTGACAGAACCCCAGCGTGGCCAAAAGGACTCGCATGGCCCATCTGCGTGGGCAGCGGAGTCCGGCCTCTACCCCGCTGCGGGAGCCTGGAGCGATTCCATCCTGCAGGCCGCGTGTCCGTGGAAAGTGAGCTCATTAGCGCCCGGCATCAGCGCAGGCTCAGCGGCACAGACACTAACGATGACACCGGGGGTGTTTTACAACCCTCACCTCGCTCAGGCGCTCGGATGCCGGGGAAGGGCCGACCCAACGTCCAACCATTTCATTTACGGTCTAGACCTCGTTCAGAAAACCCCCCGCAGGCTGCACCTCTCACCCGTTACAACTTGTAATATTGTTTAAAGCCGTCCACTGGCCAGATGCCTAAGAGTCATTTGGTTCAGGTTGGCAGCAAACTGCATTCTTTTTTTAAGGAAAAAACATTTCTCATTTGAGTAAAGGCTCACAGGGAAGAAGCGGGTATAAAAGGTGGACAGAGAAGCCTGCAGGACAAACCACCCCAGGGGTTTTAATTTTTAAAAACAATTTATTTTAGACTCTTATCCAAGGAATACATGTTCGTCGTTTAAAAAGAAAGGTCTACGAGGCTCTTAATGAAAACCAGGACCTGCCCCCCCCCCCCCCCGCCCCCCGTCTTGCTCTCTAGAAGTAACGCTTTCCACGCTAATGCTTGCTTTTGCGTTTCTACGGAGCATGCTCATGCTTCTGTTGTTTAATTAATTTAGAAGCATCACTTTATGGCAGACGAGGCTCGCTCTGCTTCGCCAGGGCAGTCGGATCGTATTGTTTGGTGCATCGCTGTTCAGTGAGGCTGTATAAGGACTGTTTTTGCCCCTGAATCACTTGGTGTGCACTGTGCTTACATATTCTCTCCTGTCGCATTTAGTGATTTGATTTTTTTTTCTTTTTTTGATGTGGAGCATATATATATATATATATATATATATATATATATATATATATATATAATGAGAGAGAATCATGGATCAGCTGCCTCCTGCATGCCCCCCACTGGGCATCGAGCCCACAACCCAGGCATGTGCCCTGACCTGGAATCGAACTATGACCTCCTGGTTCATAGGTCGATGCTCTACCACTGAGCCACGCCAGCCGGGCTGACACATTCTTTAATAACTTCTCAAGAAAAGGAACATGGGAAGTAACTATTGTAAAATTGTGGGATTTTTGCATAACTTAAAATATCTTCGTTCTGCCTTTTCCCAGGTGTGGCTGGGCACAGAATTTCAGGTGAAAAGTAACACCCCCCCCCCCCCCACACCACCACCACCACACTGTGGTCTGCCTGTGGCTCTGCGGCTGGAGTGCGGTCATAGGAACTCTCGGTCAAGCTCAGGTTTTCTCGAACATCCAGGAGGACTCCAGAAACCCCGCCAGAGTTCAGAGACGGGGCCCTCTCCTCTCTGCTGGGAGGCCTCCCTCGGGCCTCTGCCCAGTGACCCGCCTGTGGTCAGCTTCACCACCCAAGCCTGAAGAGGACAGAAGGAGGTGGGAGCCTCCATCACCCCTTCCCAAGTGGTGGTCCCACCCACACCTTAATCCTCCTGTGCTCACACGAAAATGACTGGGAGGCGCCCGTTTCAGGTTTCAGCGGATGGCTGCAAATTCGCAACCAGATGCCTCGAAGGGGCCCTAAGTAGTAAAACCTCAGTGTTTGACATCGAAGACTTCAGTGACTTCAGTTAACTGCAACTCGTCCCTGCCCCTGCTCATCGCTTCTCCACCACTAGCAGGTGCTTCTCAGAGTAGGAAGGTGGGCTGTCTCAGAAAACGCTCATCTCAGCGGCCTGGGCGGAGCACAGTCCCCGTGGGATGGGAGCACAGTCCCCGTGGGATGGAGAGCACGGAGGGGGCGGAGCACAGTCTCTGTGGGATGGGGAGCACAGTCCCCGTGGGATGGAGAGCACGGAGGGGGCGGAGCACAGTCCCTGTGGGATGGGGAGCACAGTCCCCGTGGGATGGAGAGCACGGAGGGGCGGAGCACAGTCCCCGTGGGATGGGAGCACAGTCCCCGTGGGATGGAGAGCACGGAGGGGGCGGAGCACAGTCCCTGTGGGATGGGAGCACAGTCCCCGTGGGATGGAGAGCACAGTCCCCGTGGGATGGGGAGCACAGAGGGGGCGGAGCATAGTCCCTGTGGGATGGGAGCACAGTCCCCGTGGGATGGAGAGCACAGTCCCCGTGGGATGGGAGCACAGTCCCCGTGGGATGGAGAGCACAGTCCCCGGCCGTGGGATGGGGAGCACGGTCCCCGTGGGATGGAGAGCACAGTCCCCGTGGGATGGGGAGCACAGTCCCCGTGGGATGGAGAGCACAGTCCCCGTGGGATGGGAGCACAGTCCCCGTGGGATGGGAGCACAGTCCCCGTGGGATGGGAGCACAGTCCCCGTGGGATAGAGAGCACAGAGGGGGCGGAGCACAGTCCCCGTGGGATGAAGAGCACGGACTACCTGGATTACGTCATGATTGGTTGGTCTGAGATGGGCATCGTAATTTTTATTTAAGTTTAAAATTCATAATTTTTGCAACAGCTACCACTTCTACCAATCCCACCACAAGTCAGTATGAGCACATTCTCCTGCCAAGTGTGCTGTGGGTTGGGCAGCCACAAAGCGTTTGTATCCCTAAATGCCATGCAGGGCTGGGAGCGCTTTTTTTTAAAGGAAACACTGCGAGTGTCTAACCTAGAGAGCTGGCTTTGTTCCAAACTAGGACAAGCTGCCCGGGCACCAGGAGCCGGCATCCTGGCTGTGGCCCCCTGCTCTGACACCTTGAACAATCCATTCACCTCTCTGGGTTGGGCGTTGGAAGACTTTTGAAAAGTCCTAGATTTTAAAATCTAAATCGTAGCAAGTTTAGATTATTTTTATAAAAGCTCAGTACGTGGCCTATTTGCTTAAAATAAATGTACCTCTGTATTGGCAAGCGAATGCCAAAGCTTAGAGCATTCTTCCTGCTTTGTATCTAAGAAAGTGCCTGGGAAGGTTTAGTAAATAAAAGGTAGTTTATGTTAAAGGTGTGGGGATGAGAGTTTGCGAGAGAAATGGGAGATCTCCTTCCTCAGGCTCCTAGAACGAACGGGGTTTCCTTAAGTCAGCATCAGGGACAGTTTCCCCGGGGAATGTCTTTCGATTTGAGAAGTTCAGCCGCAGGAATAAACAGCTTTTACCCACTAGCCCTGCCTGCTCCTCCCATCTTGTTCCCTTTCCCCCAGCAGACTCGGGGCCTGGGCACAGAAAGTCCTGTAGCCAGAGGCCCTTTGCATGCTGGCATCGGATCCCTTAAGCCAAAGGCTGGCACGTTGGTGTGGCATGTTCCTGCAGCGGGCACGGTACGGTGGGGGAGGGGTGCCTAAGAGCCCTTTGCCCTTGAACCTGCACCTGAGATAGCTGCCTGCATCCCTCGCGTGGTGCTGGTGGCATCAGCCAAAGATGGAAGGTGGCAAGATCCTCGTCCGCGCGCCACGAGGACGAAGGCCTAACCCTGGGCACGGGAGTTCACTCAGAGGA